GAGTACATGTTCTATGCATGTCACTCAGCAATCGAAGCGAAAGAAGAAGAGTGGTACATCGATAGCGGGTGCAGCAACCACATGACATCCAACGAGACCATCTTCCATGAGTTGGATACTTCTATCAAGACAAAGGTCAAGATGGGCAATGGCGAATTGGTGGAGGCAAAAGGGAAAGGTACCATTGTCATAGATACAAAGAAAGGTATGTGCTATATTAGAAACGTTCTCCTAGTGCCACGCCTTGCACAAAATCTACTAAGTGTTGGCCAAATGATGGAAAGTGGATATGCCCTACATTTTGAGAAAAATTCTTGTCGAATTTATGACAAGAAAAATAACCAAGAAATTGCTGAAGTGAAAATGGGAAATAATAGAAACTTTCCCATTCAATGGCAATACCCACAAAAAGCAATGGTAGCTCAACTAAGTGATACAAGTCTATGGCATCGCAGATTTGGGCACTTCAATCTCAATGCCTTGAGATTACTACGTCAAAAGAATATGATGAGAGACATGCCTCTACTTGATGAAAAAGAAGGAGTATGTGAAGGATGTATGGTTGGGAAGCAGCACAGACAGCCATTTCCAACAGAGAAGACATGGAGAGCCAAACAGATACTAGAGCTTGTCCACACCGATGTCTGCGGTCCAATGCGCACACCTTCAGTTTCCAAGAATAGGTACTTCATACTCTTCATCGATGATTACTCAAGGATGACATGGGTGTATTTCTTCCAAGAAAAATCCGAAGTTTTTAGAATATTCAAGAGATTCAAGAACTTCGTGGAGAAACAGAGTGGTCAACAAATCAAGAAGTTGAGAAGCGATCGAGGTACCGAATACAACTCAAAAGAATTTGACCAGTTCTGTGAAGATGAAGGCATGGAGCATCAACTAACAGTAGCATACACTCCACAACAAAATGGGGTATCCGAAAGGAAGAACCGCACAGTCATGGAGATGGCAAGATCAATGTTAGCTGAAAAAGGAATGCCTAAAATGTTCTGGGCAGAGGCGGTATATACTTCAGTCTATCTTCTAAACCGGTGTCCAACTAAGGCGGTTTTAAACAAAACACCTATTGAGGCATGGTCAGGACAAAAGCCTTCAGCCAAACATTTGAAGGTCTTCGGAAACATATGCTACATTCATGTTCCCTCTGTTAAAAGGCACAAATTAGAAGACAAGACAGAGAAGGGAATCTTCCTCGGTTACAGCTCCAAATCCAAAGGATATCGAATCTATAATCTCGAGACTAAGAAACTGGTGACAAGTCGAGATGTGGAGTTTGATGAGCAAGCCTCTTGGAATTGGGAGACGGAAAGAGTTGAAAGAAAGACAACTACTACCCAACTAAAGGAAATCCCAGAAGAAGAAGATCACGATCAACAGAGCCCCACATCTACTCCAAGATCCTCTTCCGAAGCGAATAAATCTAGCGAACATGACTCCTCGCCAGAATCCCCACCCCTTCGGGTAAGAACTCTAGCAGACTTATATGAGTCTACTGACGTCTATGAAACATGCAACTTTTGTTCCTTGGAGCCACATAGTTACATTGAAGCCTCCAAAGAAAAAGTTTGGATTAAAGCAATGGAGGAGGAGATCAAAATGATAGAAAAGAATGATACTTGGGAAATGGTAGATCTTCCACATAACAAGGAGGTTATTAGAGTCAAATGGGTGTACAAAACGAAACTGAACCCCGATGGCTCAATTCAGAAGCATAAGGCAAGGCTAGTTGCAAAGGGGTATGCTCAAATACCGGGAGTTGACTACACAGAGACGTTTGCACCAGTTGCCCGGATGGACACAATAAGAACACTCATAGCTCTTGCAGCTCAAAAGAAATGGAAAATTTATCAGCTAGACGTTAAATCAGCCTTTCTAAATGGAGAACTAAGAGAAGAAGTGTATGTAGAGCAACCAGAAGGATTCATCAAAGAAGAAGGAAAAGTTCTTCGTCTAAAGAAAGCACTTTACGGGCTCAAACAAGCTCCACGAGCTTGGTATAGCAAGATTGATGGATACTTCACCCGTCAAGGGTTCAGGAGGAGCAAGAACGAGGCTACACTATACATCAAATCCCAAGGTAAAACTGACATTCTCATCATCTCTCTATATGTTGATGACTTAATTGTCACGGGAAATAATTCAAAATTAATTGAAGAATTTAAGAGAGACATGATGAACACCTTTGAGATGAGTGACTTGGGATTAATGCATTACTTCCTTGGCATGGAGATAAGTCAAGAAGAAGAAGGCATCTTCTTATCTCAAGAAAAATATATTAAGGACATGCTAAAGAAGTTCAAAATGCAAGACTGCAAAGCCGTCGTTACTCCGTTGGTTCCTAATGAGAAATTAAAGAAAGAAGATGGGTCAAAGCCAACGGATGCTACCAATTACCGGAGTTTGATTGGAAGTCTACTCTACTTAACGGCTACGAGGCCGGACATAATGTATGCTACAAGCTTGCTCTCGAGGTTCATGGAAAGTCCAACTGAGACTCATTATGGAGCGGCAAAGAGACTCCTTAGGTACCTACAAGGAACCATCAATTATGGTATTTGGTACAAAACAAGTCCTGACTCACGACTAAGTGGATATAGCGACAGTGATTGGGCTGGATCACAAGATGACATGAAAAGCACCTCTGGTTACGCATTTAAGCTTGGTTCGGGAATTTTCTCATGGGGATCAAAGAAGCAAGATTCTGTTGCACTATCTTCAGCAGAAGCCGAGTATGTTGCAGCAGCCGGAGCAGCGTGCCAAGCTATATGGCTAAAAAGAATATTAGAAGACATGGGAGAATTGCAAAGTTCTGCGACTGCGATATTTTGCGACAACAAATCAGCTATTGCGATGGCTAAAAATCCAGTTCAGCACAATCGCACTAAGCACATCGATATCAAGTATCACTTCTTGAGAGATGTTCAAGCAAAGGGACAAATTGAGATGAAGTACTGCCCAACAGAAGAACAATTGGCAGATATTTTCACGAAGGCTCTGCCAAGAGACAGGTTCCAGTTTCTGCGAAGAATGCTTGGGGTCACCGACAAATGCATCAAGGAGGAGTATTAAATAGTGATGCATTTATCTAGAATATTCTATGTAGTTAAAGCTAAAAATGTTCTAGAGAGTTAATGGAAATAATGTTCTAGAGAATTCTCTACTAGAGAATTCTTAAGTAGAGTCTAGAGTTATTAGAAGTAGAATACTCTAGATTCCTAGCATTTAATAAGGTTCTAGAATGATCCTCTAGCACCTATAAATATGATCCATTGTACTCATTTGCTCACCAAGCAAACCAAGAAACATCAATACAATATATCTTTTCTAGAGACAAGAGCTCTACTCTAAAATACCTCCTCTACACTACACCTCACTAAAATCACTTAACATATTCATATACCAACAACCTCTTCTATTTTCTAACAGGTATATATATACGTAGACAAGAAGGTTCTAGGGATTAGGGTTTCGTGTGTTACATCACATGTCGTACGATGTGAAGCTGAGCCGGTGCATATGTATAGATCGCAAATACAGAATCGGCCCAAAATTTCTATACCCAATTTACGCATGGGTTTTCATGAGTGTTGGGAAGTTAAGTGTTTTTTAACACTTATTATTATGTAGTTGCGTATATACTACATATATTAATATATTCATTAGGTGTGTTTTATATAGGTGTCTTATAAGCATATCATTTCATGTACGTAGTGTGTACTCGTATTATTTTGTTTTATTTTGTATACTCAAAAAATTTCACCGGGAACCGCCCCAAATGGCGTCAACCGGACATAACATCCTAAATATGTCCTTATCTGACATTTTTTTCCAAGTTTGAGGCCCTATCTGACCCTTATCCCTTTTATTTTATTTTATTTTATTAATGATCTCTCAAAATGTCAATGTCAAAAGATTTTATTTGATTAAGATTATATACTTTTTTTAGAATATTTCATTAAGATTATTATTATTATCATTATTTAATTTTTTTGAGTGTCACACAAACGCATCTTACGCTACTTACAGGGAACCATTAATCACAAGCTCTTCATCTCTGCTAGCCCCATTTCTGTTTTTACTGCATACTCTGATGCTGATTGGATATACGGTTCCGATTCTCGCCATTCTACATCTGAGCTTTGTGTTTTTATTAGTGACAATCTCATCTCCTGGTCTTCTAAGCGTCATGCAACTGTTCCCAACCCAGTGGGGAGGCAGAATATAGAGGAGTTGCTAATGCTGTTGCTGCTTCCTGTTGGCTGTGAAGTCTCCTCCTTGAACTTCATCTACCATTTTGACGTGCCACTATTGTACACTTTGATATCATAAGTGCGGTATACGTCTCAAGTAACCCTGTTTAACCCCAACACACTAAGCACGTTGAAATTGATATTCACTTCGTTCGTGAACGTGTTCAACTGGGAGACATTCGGGTCTTGCATATTCTTGCTGAGTATCAATATGTCGACATTTTCACTAAAGGACTTCCTTGGCAACTCTTTTTTCGTTTTCGTGATAGTCTCAGCATCCGAGCATCTCCTGCTTCGACTACAGGTGTGTAATAGGATGACATGTTTAGATATATTCTCTAGCCATATTTACATGATTTGTAATAAATTCAATGATTTGTAAATCCCACATAATCTTCTTGTAATTACTCCCCTTCCTTAGATACTACTGTTATTCTTGTATAAATTGTGGTAATACAAAAGTTTCCCCTCAAGGGGTCTTATACAATCTAGCTCCTTTATTGCCCGCTCTTACCTGTATATTTAATCTCTTCGGGTCAAGGTTAGAATAGCTATACAAAATGTTAATCAAAGTCTAATTTTGGTATACTCATATGCATATTTTTTTAAATATCTTATTGTTGCATTAAGATTGGTGAAAGTTAAGAAAACCATCAATGATTTTAAGTTTACTAAACTGTTTTTTTTAAAACGGGTTTATAACTATCGCTTTATTAAATTTTTATGTGTTATGGAGTATTAGCAGAGAAAACCCAGATCCTAGCGGCGAGACTCTTGTTGCTCGATGAGTTTTGAGAGGATGTGAGGCAATTTGCTAATCTTATTGTTGATTGGGTTGCTTGGTTTCAATGGATGGATGATTTGGAAGGGCAGTGGGCTAGAAGGATGTGGTTGTGCGGTGGATATGGAGATCGAACGACAATGGAGGATGAATCCATTCCAGATCGTTCATGCTTTAATCCATCATGGCGGCTGATTGTCCTGCCTATGTATTAGAGTGGAGATCGAAGCAGACTATCGATTGGAAAAACTGGATCATCAGGGCCACAGATTGATGCTTGAAGAGGAAGGGACAAACCTGGTTCTTCATGGAAGAGGGGGCCTACTGGTCTGCCCCCTCCAGAACCGCCACCTTGGAGCGATCAAGGTGATAGGTTTGGAAGATGATGTTTCAAGAAAACTGATAGGAAGGAATTTGGAGCTTTTATCAGTTATTTTATTTCTTATGGTCTTATATTCACGTTATGTTTATTTACGTTGCTCTATTTTTGTTGATGTTTTTAGTTTTAGGTCTACAATAATAATTTACAATTGTGTTAGCTATTATGTTGTTAGAAGGATCTATATGAGTTGTGATTGTTGTGTCACACCCGTTTGGTGGTTATCAATTCGTATTTCTCTTTCAGAAGTGATCGTTTCTAAGTCTAGCCGTAGTGTTGATAATGATGATTACAAATAGGTGGTGTATGTGTTGATCTCTTTTAGTTTGCTATAACAATCTGATTTCTAATGATATTAATATAAACAGTTTTTCCTTTAAAAAACTACCGCTTTAATCATTTAAAAAAACAACTACTGTTATAATATGGAAGAAAATAAGTAGAAGATCAGGGAGAGAAAGTATAGTCTGAATACTTAGTGAGAAAGATGTTATTAGAAGTGTGATAATGGTGTTGTCTTAGTTCGTTAATTACAATGGAGAAGCCTCCTATTTATAGGAGAAAAGCTAAGCTTCATAGGATTAGAGGATAATTGTGAACCACACAATTATCATCTAGAATCAAATTATGATTTCCTGATTATTTATATAATGGTGATAATAATTCCTAATCAGGAATAGTTGGAAGATAACTAATTCAATAATATTTCAACACTCCCCCTTGAATGGTCATCTTCTAATTATTTTGGGGTATTAGTTTCATAGTATTATAATGTACTGTCTCGTTAAAAACCTTTGTCAGGAAAAACCCAGTGGGAAAAAAAAATCCTAACGAAGGGAAAAAGAATGCAGTGCATTATATTACTCCCCCTCAATTTAACATATATCACGAAGACGACACATTCCAATTTTGTGGACAAGTTCTTCGAATTTCTTCGGTGTGAATCACTTTGTGAATAAATCAACAGGGTTGTCGTAGAACTTGATTTGTTTGGCATCAACTGTTCCATCTTTGTCAAGATCATGTGTGGAGAAAAGGTTATGGTGCTATATGCTTTGTTTTATCTCTTTTGATGTAACATCCTTTGACCTGCGCTATAGCTGGCTAACAAATTTATACAAAAGAGCTAGCAATATCCAGTCAAGTATTATGTTAGCAGAATACATTAATGCTTTAGTAGCATTCAAATATATTATTTCACGACCAAGGATTTATTCATCACATTCACAAGGTCGGAAAAATCATCATTCATATTGAGAGATCAAAACGTTATTGAAAAATTGAGCGGGTGTGGTTTATTCATGAAAAACTGCTTCAAAAGTTTCTTGGTATATTTTTATTGGTGAATAAAAATACCATTTCTCAAATGTTCAATTTGAATGACGAGACAAAATTTTGTCCTCCCAATACCTTTAATTTCAAATTCTTTCATGAGATATTTTGCAGTATTTTCAATTTCAATGAGAGTTTCAATAGTGATTAAATAATCAACATATACTGCAATTATGGCGAAGCCTGATTCAGATCGCTGAATGAAAACACATGGACTAATAGGATCATTTTTATATCCTTCTTTAATCAAATATTCACTGAGACGGTTATACCACATGCGTCCAGATTGTTTTAATCCATATAATGACTTTTGCAACTTTATGGAAAATAAATCTCGAGATTTCGAGCAATAAGCATCAGATATTTTAAAGCCACCAGGAATTCTCATATATATGTCTGTATCGAGTGAACCGTATAAATATGCGGTCACTACATCCATTAGGCGCATTTGCAGTCTTTCAAAAATAGACATGCCGATTAAAAATCTTAAAGTTGTAGCATCAACTACTGGAGAATACGTCTCATCATAATCGATTCCTGGTGATAGAGTATATGGGCCTGGACCCCATGGCCCACATACTCAAGTCAACGATGTCCAGAAGAACACCCACGTGGCCCCCTTCGGCCAGTGGGTCCGCATCGGCCAGAAACCAAACCGGCCCAGGAAGCACGCATGGACTCCCGGGACCGCATCGGCCCATGGACCGCATCGGCCATGGGACCGCATCGGCCAAAAGGCACCGCATCGGCTCGGCTTCGTACGGGCAGAATGCATCTCTCTACTTTATTTACTAAGTATTGTACACAGCCCATTAGTGGCCCTATTTCGCCCAAAGAAGGCATGATTATTGTAATGGGCCTCCTAAGCCCATGGTTAGGAGCCCAAACCCACATTTTTCCTATAAATAGACCCCTTGGGGCTAGTTATAGGGGGTTGAGAAATACAATTACTCACTTTCTCTCTCTAGCTCTCACTTCTCTCTAGAATTAATACTCTATCATTTGGTGCTTTCATTGAGAGCTCAGAACAGATCAAGTGAGTACCTTTCGTCGCTACCAAACACTACCGCTAGCTATGACAAGAACTAGGTCAAAGAACACTGGTAGGAATGCCCCACTGAACCAGGAAGGGCAGGGAAACGTTGCTGACAACGTCCCCAATGATCTCATCATTCAGGATGAGAATGCTCAGGAGGTCGAGCTTGCAGCGGCCGACCTTCGCACCCAGCTCAACAAGACTGCCCCAGACGCCCGCATCGGGCTCGAGGACAGGCGCAATGCTGATCGCGCTTCGGGCCAGCAGGCCTCTAACCCTGCTGCTCCCCAGATAAACCCGGCCGCACTATCGGCCATTATTGCGAGCATCCTCCAGGACCCCAACGTGGTCAGCGCTCTTGTTGCAAAGACCGGGGAGAACAACACTCCTGTGACTGGGGAGGTCGCAACGGTGCCACCACCGCCATCTCGTCCACAGGGCGTCACCTTCTTCGGCAACAACGAAGACGTCCTCGCCGTGGACACCCATTCCCATACTGCCTCGCCTACCCGGGATACACCGGCCCAACCTCGCGGTAAAATCTCAGCATTCAACAGGCTGGGTGACATCGCGAGTCGTCGGGTACCTACGGGAAGGGTGGCGGATCGGTTGGGTGGCCGCGAGCCGGGATCACCAAGGGAAAGCTTCGGGTCCGTGTCCCGGACAACGGACCGGCCCCGACCAGATAAAGGAAAAGGAAAGCTGGTTGATGACGATGCGCACCACCAAATCAACCTAGCCCACGCGGCCCGGATCCAGACCCCTCTGGGCGGCGCCGCGGCCAACACGGACCCAAGGGATGAGATCATCGCCCGCTTGGAGAAGCGCCTCGCTGACATGGAGGCCCGAGAGGCCGCAGGGCGCGCAACGGCCCACACATCCCAGCATCCCAACTACGACGCGCTCCTGAGCAAGGTCAGTGCTCTGGAAAGAGAGTTGGCTGACCGGCGCGATGAGCCCGTCATCCAGATACGGACCAGAACCCCGTTCTCTGCGAGGGTGCTCTCCGCTCCCATCCCGGAGAAATATAAGGGGAACCCGATCAAGCCATACGACGGCCGCACTGATCCCCAGGAGCACTTCACCCGTTATCAGAACAATATGATGATGACCAACGCTTCGGAGGAGTACATGTGTCGCTGGTTCCTATCCACCTTGGAGGGACCAGCGTACGATTGGTTCAACAACCTTCCGGAGGGGAGCATCGACTCATGGCAGGATCTTGCCCAACGCTTCCTCACCCACTTTGCCGGGAGGAAGCGCGCGAAGAAGCATTTCGCTCATCTCCTGACCATCAAGCAACAGTCGGAGGAGACGCTCCGAGCCTTCCTCGATCGCTGGACGAGGGAGGCGGACGAATGCGAAGGAGCCGATGAACGCACCCTCCTGGCCTTCCTCCGCGGAGCACTCCGGCCGAGTCACTTTGCCCGGAGCCTGTTCACGGAGCCGCCGCGGTCATACCTCGCGGTGCTCCGGCGCGGGGATAGGCACGCTGATGCCGACGAGCTCCTGAACCAGAAGAAAGGTGGGGAGAAGCTACAAAAGAAGGACTCCTCGTCCAACCCCCACCACGCGCAGGCCAACAAAGGACAGAATCAGCCAAAGAGGGCGCACCAGGAGCAGGGCGGACAGCGAAGAGAGGATCGTTCATGGCGTCCAAAATTGGAGGCACAACGCATCCCCCTCACCCACCCGGTGAGCGTCGTCCTTGACCACGCCGAGGCGCAGGGCCTCATTGTGAAGGATCCCAGGTCAGAGGAGGAGATATTTGCGGTCCACAAAGGAGGGACATACTGCAAGTACCACCGCCAGACATCTCACAAGACCGAGGATTGCACCACCTTGAAGAGGCACATCGACGGCCTCATTCGACAGGGGGAACTTTCCCAATTTGTCAAGGGTGCCCCCAAGAGTAACACTTGGGTTAACCCTGGCAAAAGGGGGGAGGGGTCCTCCGGGAAAAAGAGGGAGATCGGCGCCCTCAGTGTAGATGAGGACGAAGAAGAGCCCTGCCAGAAGAAGCATCACATTCACATCATCGTCGGCGGGAACACAGGGGGGGACTCGGCCACCCAACGAAAAAAATGGGCTCAGTCCCTATACATTGGTGAGGTGTCCCACGCCCCCCCTCAGCCGAAGCGACGGAACATGGAGGCCATCACCTTCACCGACAAGGACCTTCCCTTCGGCCCCTTGCCCCACAGGGACGCCCTCGTCGTCAAATGCGAGATCCGCAACAACATCATCCACCGCAACTACATCGACACTGGCAGCTCTGTCAACGTGATGTACGTTGACACCTTCAGGCAGCTGAAACTGAAGAAGACTGAGCTCCGGCCGATACGGACTCCGTTATCTGGCTTCACCGGGGACTCTATCGACGCCGAGGGCACGATAGTACTTCCCGTTGTGGTCGGTGACGGTACCTGTTAGGCGAAGATTGACATGGAGTTTGTGGTTGTCAACCTGGACAGCGCCCACAACATGATCTGGGGCCGACCGGCCTTGGAGGACCTTGAGGCCATCATCTCCATGAAGCACCTATGCCTCAAGTTTCCCACCAAGGACGGCGTCGGCTACGCCAGAGGAAACCAGAAGATAGCCAGGGCTTGCTACCTCAAGCTCACAAGAAAGATTAATGAGGCCGAGGAGCGGATAGACACTATCACCACCGCCTCAGCCGAAGAAGACACACAAAAGGCCGAACCGGTCGGAGACGTGGAAGAGGTTCCGTTGGACGTCTCTCGGCCGGAACGGATGCTGAAAATCGGGACCCAGCTCCCCCAACAGATCAGGAGGGATATCCTATCCGTCTTGAGAACGTATGCCGTCGTCTTTGCATGGGGACCAGAGGACATGCCGGGCATCAGCCCACAAGTGATTACACACCGACTCTCAGTCGACCCGGCTTCCTCCCCCATCAAGCAAAAGAAGCGCTACCTCTCGGCCGATAGGAGAGAATTCGTCCAGGCCGAGGTGGCCATGCTGCTCTCCATCAAGCACATAAAAGAGGTGAAGTACCCCACGTGGTTGGCGGACGTCGTCCTCGCACCAAAGCCGCCCTCGTTCAGAATGTGTGTTGATTACACTGACCTGAACAAAGCGTGCCCGATGGACCCATTCCCTCTCCCCAACATTGATCAGTTGGTGGATGAGACGGCGGGGTGCGAGTTGATGTCATTCCTCGACGCGTTCAGAGGGTACCACCAGATATCCATGCATGAAGATGACGCAGAGAAGACTGCTTTCATGACTCCGGAAGGGATCTTTTGCTACCTCGTCATGGCCTTCGGCCTCAAGAACTCCGGCGCCACCTACACAAGGATGGTAGCCCGGATTTTTAGAGCAGTCCTGGGCCGGACGATGGAAGCATACGTCGATGACATGATCGTCAAAAGCAAACAATCTACCACACATGCCGACGACCTCCGGGGCATCTTCGAGATCATGAAGAGATACAACCTCCGGCTTAACCCAAAGAAATGCACCTTCGGCGTCCAGGGAGGTAAATTTCTAGGCTACCTGGTCAGCCGAAGGGGCATTGAAATAAACCCGGAGAAGATACAAGCCATTATCAACATGGAGCCGCCCCGCAACATCAAAGAAGTGCAACGGCTGACGGGACGCCTCGCGGCCCTGAACCGTTTCCTATCAAAGTCCGCGGAAAAATCGCTCCCCTTCTTCCAGATAATGAGGAAGGCCACCAGCTTCAAATGGACGACGGAGTGCCAACAAGCCTTTGAAGAGCTGAAACAATATCTCGCCTCCCCACCCGTCCTATCCAAGCCCCAACCCGGCGAGACTCTATTCCTCTACCTAGGAGTGAGCACGTCGGCCATCAGCTCCGTGCTAATCAGGGAGGACGACGGGGTACAGAAGGCAATATTCTACGTCAGCAAGACGCTGCGGGAGGCCGAGCTCAGGTACTCCCCCATTGAGAAAACGGTGCTGGCCATCGTCCACACGGTGAAAAAACTTGGACACTATTTCCAAGCTCACCCCGTCCATGTCCTCACGCATCAGCCATTGGGCGCACTCATGAGGAGTCCAACCAGCTCTCCAAGGATGATCAAATGGGCAATATTCTTGAGCCAATATGAGATTGAAATAAAGCCGAGGCCATCTATCAAGGGGCAAGCCTTAGCTGACTTCGTCACCGAGTGCACGGCAAGAAAGACGTCCGTAACCACCACAGGAACTGAACCAGACGAAGCCTGGACCCTCTACACGGACGGGTCCTCGGCCACAAAAGCTTGTGGGGGTGGCGTCGTCCTCATCTCCCCGGAAGGTTTCAGAGCATACTATGCCATTCGCTTCAATTTCAAGGTATCCAACAATGAGGCTGAGTATGAAGCGCTCCTCAGTGGGCTCAGACTGGCCGCTGGCCTCAAAGCGCGCCACATCAGAATCAAATGCGACTCCAAACTCGTAGTGAACCAAATGGAGGGTTCCTACGAGGCCAAAGAAGGGAGAATGAAGCAATACAAGGAGGCCGCTGCGG